TCCGCCCTGCCTCCCCTCTAAATCGTCTATCTGCATTGGATCACCCTGCGAGGCGGGTTGCAGCCGTCGATGACCTCCAAACAAACTTGAGTCCGGGTGGATTGGCGGCAGAGAAGTCGGGGGTTGTGAATTTGCGTGTTGCCAGGCGGCGTCATAACCCATCTCCAAATTGGGAATTCTGGGTGGCGGTGGAAGTGGTGGAGGGGCGGTGATCATAGTAGTTCTAGTTCGTGAAGCTATAGGTAACGGGCCGTGAGATGATAGTGCCAGCTCGGGCATAGCGTATTGGAATCTTTCGGAAGAACGGCGTTTGTGTTCTCTGAAATCGTGGAAGCTCGGCGACTGAGAAAATCGAAGGTCCATTCTAGAACCAGAACATAGAGCCGGGATCAAAATTAGAGACTGGTGCGCATCCGCATGAACCCCAAGTTGAGATCAGAAAAAAGCCAACTGAACAGAAGAATAGGTCGAGCTTGATGTAAATCGGAGCAAGCAGGTCAAATCGATATCTCAATATACCAGCAATAACCCAATCCAGTTGAGTGTAAACGTCGGTCGTGAAACCAGCTCCGATTGTTAAGCGGACTGTTAACCAGCCTCACACGCTCCGATGAAGAGTGTGTATCTCAGAAGGTCCAGCTTCTGCCTACTTTCAAGAGAGGGCAAATAGTTATAGAGCGAGAATGGTTAATAGAGAGGACTTCATGCAGTGTGTAAGTCTTGTGAGTCTAAATTAAGAGGTCAGATCATTTGAAAGTGGACTTGGACGAGATAATAAAAAGACCGGGGTAAGGAAGAAAATAGGGCTGAAGAAGAGACCTACGTCGGGACCCTTGTTCGGCGATTCGCCTCATAAGATGAAACGTTTTCCCGTAAGTGACACACGGAGAGCCGGGCCTGTGTCCCATAGAAATTGGCCACCCTGCAACTCAAGGAGATGAACACATTCTTAATGGAAGAATAGAAAGAAAAATGTAGGGAGAAAAAAAATAAAATAAAACTAGTAATATGTTAGAAAGGTGCAATTAAACTCAGATATTGTGAGTACAAAGGAAATACACACTCACTCTCTCTATGTTGTATGTTGTATGCAATGGGAGGACCCCACTACTAGCTGAAGCCCGGTTTTTTTTTTTTTTTTGGAAAAAAGTGTGTTAAGGCAAAAGGAAAGGCTGAGAGCTGAAGCTGGAGCTGGAGCTGATCAAATAGAGAGCGAATCAAAAAGGAAAAGGTAAGAATTGAAATACGCCCAGATCGGGGTATCGGGTAGGAATTCGGGCGGTGCAAGCGATTGGATCCAATTCAGGCGAGGAGAGGGGGCAATTTAGGTGATCTCATTCTCAGAGAGAAGAAAAAAAAAGAAGTTCAACTAATCAAAAGCAAAGAGGCAAAAAAGAAAAAGAACAAAAAAGAAAAAGAGGAAATTAGAAACATACCAGGTCTCAGGGTTAAAGCCTTTGGGAGGGGTGACGTGGAAAGGCATATGTATTGTTCGTATTGTTCGTATATGGGTCATTATCTGTTACATACCAGTTACAGAGAAAACATCAGGGATGAAATAAATAGGGAATTTAATAATTTAATAGGATATTTCATCCTAATTAAACAGTAAAACATTAAATCGTCCTTTAAATTAAAGAAAATAAAATAAAAAATAAAAAAATAAAAATAAAAAGATTGGATTTTCTAGTTCGCGTGGGAAAAGCCACGTTGGAATGACAAGTTCTTTAGGGCACAAGGCTTAGCGTTAAAAATACCTAATAATTAGACATATTAGGTACGGAGTACACTATAACTAGATTATACTATTATACTAGTTTCGCACCACGTTCGGTTAATCTAGGTCAATATTGATATAGCTTCCAAAAAAAGATATCTGGACCCCAGTACAGAGTACTACGGGGGATGGGAATGGACTGGCCCAGGGTCCTGGAGTTCTAGAGTTCTAGAGTTCCGCTGATCTATGTGACGCCGTCTACCCCATATGGAGTCTTCAGATTATTTGACGGGATCATGGAAGCCAACCAGAACATTGCAGAATGGCCGTGCGGCCAACCTCACAGGTGGGTGGGTGGGGTGGAAGTCTTTGTATATTGGACGCCTCGCAAATGCGACCCAGATGGGGTTGTCCACATCATAGTGTAACAAGATAATCTTTAAACGCCTTATCCTATCTGGTATGAAGTGGTAAGCAAGACTTTTTTTTTATCAATTTTTATCAATTTTTCTGCCACTACTACAAGGTGAAGGCTGCCGACGACCAGGACCTTTTTCACCGAGACAAAAACGGCTCGAACAATGGCAGAAGAGACCTATCAAGGAACCATGGTTTATTAGTATTCTAGAACTGGAACTTGACCAGAGAGGGGTTCACCGTACATCCCGCAAAGTTCTTGGAAGAATGAAGTATAGATTGGCATGGTCTTGTGCAGCTTTACAACCAGTGATAATATACACCGGGAGGGGGCTTGGAACTCTTGGAACTCTTGGAAGCCTTGGCATTTAGGCTTAATATCTCATATCTCTCGAACAAGGGGCCCATACGAGCACCCTATTACTATTCTTGACTACTGGATGCTGAACAAGGCAGATACGTGTACGAAGTACATTGTACAATACATCTGCCATGATACGAATATAAGGAGATCTTGTGTTGCGTTCGGAGGATTCGGGCCCTACATTCATTACGGAGTAGAGAACATTCTTTTGCCTCCACATAAAAAAAAAAGAGGACAATGCTGAGTCGTTGGACATTGACCCACTGATTTACTAGTGCACTCCACTTGGCGTCGGGCATTGCATGCACTGCCACACTGCCGGTCCGCCTGTCATTTGCGCGCAGGGGGGATTGTGAACTCTTTTGTGGTGTGATCAAACACTTTAGGTAATGTAAGACATGTTGAATTGGTATTTTTTTTATTAAAAAAAACCACAGAAAATGACCTGGTCTTTGGCAATGAATGGGAAGAAGAGTAATGAAGAACGTTAGAACAAACCCTCCAGGGCTGCAGGGAATAGTGCTGAGTAATCCGATTAATGCTCCAGTGGGCTCCACATCAGCTTCGAGAATGAAAATCTCATTTTTATTTTTATTTTCTTTTGTTCTTTTTTGTTTTCTTTTTTTAGGAAATTATCGCTAAATTGGGCATTTCCATACCGCACAATCCTACATATTAGGCCAGTATTATTCAAGTTCTAGTCCACGTTAGTACCATATATGGATGTAATATAATGGGGGTTTCATCCCAAGGACATGGGCGAACTCTACGTTAGATGTTACCCCTGGAGCCCTATCACACGTAGGACGATCAGATCTTCTGATCAGAGCGTCTTGATCTGTACAGAGTAATGATTTCCTGCTCTCAAATGTCAGGATTGCTGCGTTAGGTAGCTCAACATCAGGATTTTGTAATTGCTGTGTGGCAGTGAACCTCTTGGCGAGGGGATTACCTCTGATCCTTGATTCCTCTGTACTCCGTCTATGTACTCCGTATGGAGTACAGTGTACGTAGCGGATACAGAGGCCTAATAAAGTTTCCCCCGGGCCCATTATGTGAGTATTTCTCATCGATCATCAACATCAAGCTGGTTGATGTTCCAGGCGCCCTTAACTTATTTAGGAAATAATTAGATTACAGTGGGTGATGGCTGACTATGTTGTAGGTAAGCTACACAACTCCATTGAGGGGTGTGTGTCCACATTTTTTTCTTCGGGTAATGATTGCCACAGTGACAGACAGCAAAGACATTATTGGGTTAACGGGAGGCGTCAGCAAAGAGGGGTTTTACAACATACGGATTTTGCACGGAGTACGGAGTACGGAGTAGTGCGGCTGGCTTCGGCTGGGAAAATCTCAGTCTTTGGCCAGGCCATCAGCCATCACCAGAAACTCAAGCCCTGGAAGGGGTCAGGTGCTTTGCTGTAGATTGTACCTCCTGAGGCGCAGCCAGCCTTAAGCCTTAGAAGGCTGCAGCCTAGAAGCGCGTGTCACGTCTCTAGTTAATGTGACACTGGACAAGCTAGCCTCCTTTATACTTCGTATACTCCGTACGGAGTAGTGAGGGCGTATATGGCCTCCTCCGGCCCCATTCATTGCTCCATTCCTGATCAACCCAGGGCCAAGTTCCCCGCCGCAAGCCTAACTAAGCCTAAATCTAGCTTCCTTTTTTTGTTGCCCCGTGAGCAACCCCTTGCAGTTTGATTAGCAAATCAGATCATCGGCTAACGAGGTTGATTGTTTGACCTTTGTTGGATGTATATCGCCCTACACGTTGCGTCGGCTAGACTCCTCTATTATGTATCTACCAATCCAGTCATACACGGAGTAAATACGAGACTACAACGTAGACACGCAGTAATTCTGTACTGTTCCATTCCAAGCACACGTTACGTCTACCAGTATTTAGAACACATGGGGCACGTGGTCGGTGAAGTGACCTTGACATTTAATCGTAAATGCCGCGTCTCACTTTTGAGAAGGGGCTGTGAAATTGGTTTCTCGGTACGTGCACTCAAGCTATAACAAAGAACCTAGAATAGAATAGTTATATGTAACGTACTTATGTGGCAGGCACCAACCCCAGTGTGGGGAGATCCTCATACGGTGACCTCCAAACTGCCACGTTGTGTACAAATCCACCCTTTCTTGCAGCTGTAATTATTGATATGTGAATATTTTTGTGTTAATGAACAGAGTTCACATGAGTTGACAATTCTATTTCCCCTTAATAATCACAAATACACAAGTCTGAAATAGTTCCAAGATTGTACAAGTATATTGCCTGAGGCATCCAGGTCACCTGCTTTGTCATACCCTTGCCCTATCAGACTTTTTGAGTTTGGCAGCGCCGAGGCTCAACCTCCGCCTTTGGGATCTAAGAGGAAAGAAGAGTCAAGTTATCAAACTGGCACTCGAGTTGAATTTCTGAATTCTGTATCTCCTCTGTCGCCATCAACAACCCATCTTACTGCTGCCAAGTTGCAGCCACCATATCTCAAAATGGCCATGAATCAAATAAAAGGCCACAATATCTATGTCGGAGGGTTGGTCTCACTTCTCTAACAGATAAACCTTGCCCGGGTGTTGCTAAAATATAGCTGAGGCTGGAGATTGGCACTTCCAGTTCCTGATTTGGCAGTTTTCATTCATTGCTAACCCCTCCATTTGTAGCATATTAAGCGCCAAAAACAAAACGGCTTTGGCACGCGCAGATATCTCGCATGTTCTCTCAGTGCTGCGTCTCAACCCAGCTGAGGAACAGGAGACGTTCAAGTCTTTCCAGCATCTTTCCATAGGAGTTGACGATGTCGACGATGAAAATTTATTGGAGTATTTCCCCGCCGCTATCAAGTTTATTCAGTCTGGCCTAAACGGTGGTGGAGGTGTACTCGTGCACTGGTAAGTTAAAATACAAATTATCCAATCTCACTTGTGGAAAGTCTTTTCCGGCTCTTCAGTCGTTCCTATTTCCTCTTGCAGAATGCATATTCTTGAGTGGCTTCGTGCCTCCTACGTCATTTCGTGCCCATCAAGTGCGATCTACATGTGGCTGAAGAATCCCGCAAATCTCGATGCACATTGGACCCCTGTTTTTGGGAAATTTGCAAGCTGTGTCTGGACTTATCATGGAAAGATGTACATTAGCTAATGTGACGATCTAGTGCGATGGGGAAGTCCCGCTCCGCGGCCATTTGCATCGCCTACCTGCTCCACCGGCAGCTGGGGCTCACACCGCAATCCGCCCTTGCGCTGGTTCGCCAAAGCAGGCCCCTATGTGAGCCAAACGAGGGCTTCATGGAACAGCTGAACCTATACCATGAAATGGGCTGTCCAGATGATGTCACCGATCATCCCTCGTACAAACGCTGGCTTTATCGCCGTGATGTCGAAGGAAGTGTGGCATGTGGCCGTGCCCCAGAGCTGAAGTCAGTGCGGTTTGAAGATGAACAGCCTGTCCAGTCCCAAAACGCCACCGGTCGAACGGTTGAGATTAAATGTCGGAAATGCAGGTTAGTCCCACAATTAAAAGATCCAGACCCATACTTCCAAGGGAAGAAAAGAAAGAAACTTCCCGATTTACTAAACCCCATCATAGAACGAAATTGGCAACGACTCCATTCATCATCCCGCATGAGGAAGAAAAGCAAAACACTGCCAAGTCATCAGCAACCGCGGATTGCGGCCATGTTTTCCTCCACCCCCTGACCTGGATGCGCCCAAGTCTCTTCCCGTCTGAGGATAGAGCTGAGGCTAGCGCGGATACAACATATGGTGCACACCCCGACGATGCTCCCCTCTCTGGACGCCTCACTTGCCCCAACTCCATCTGTGGGTCCAATGTCGGCAAATTTGCATGGCAAGGTCTTCGATGCAGCTGTGGTGGTTGGGTCGTGCCCGCCATCGGTCTCACCAAAGCTCGCGTTGATATCGCATACCAGGTTAATATGGCTCAGGGCCCAAGAGCTAACCCTGCCATCCGTCTTCCTCCTGGAATGCGGGTTCCGGCAGTTAATGACTCTGGGCGGGGCAATCTTTGAGATGAGAAGTGACGAACACCATAACATGCATACATAGTTTTACGAGTTCATGAAAGCTTAAAGCTCCAGTTACATTTGTTTATGGTTCATCTTTGTTTTTCTTTTTGGGTTCCAGATAATCATCTGCCAACCAAGGAGGCTCACCGGGCTTGTGAGTGACATGTGGTACATCTTGGCTCTGGACTGGAGAGGTATGTACTTGAAAGTCCGCCTGGGCATACTTCGTGCAAAGCTTGGTCATCATTATTGATGTACCACTATTTGGGAAGGACCACGTGCCCTACGTGGAGAGTGAAGATGGTTTCTGGCCATAGCATGACTGCCTTGTGTCTCATTCCATTCTACTCCGTACAGACAGCGACATGGCATGGCGAGGCTCGGTAGCACTACCTCGGACCTTTCCAGACAAGCCGCTAAAGCTGACGGGAGATTGCACCGTGCTCCATCCCATGATCTACAATAGCAAGACACACATTAGGGAGCATGGCGGCCAACATTGCCCCTGCTGATCTGTACAGCCACTGTGATATCGATCCATTCCAAAACACACAAGCCATCAATCTTGTAATTCGTACCCAACGCCCCCGTTGGCCGACGCTCAGGTGCTATGTCCCACAAAGCAAAAACATGCATTGTGCACAAACTCAAATATAGAGAGTAATACAGCGTCGGCGATATGAGACAAAGCCAAAGCCCCATTTTGAATCTGTACATAGTAATTGAAGTCGAGCCCAGCTTACCCTACCCTAGGGCTGCACCGCATACCAACATGCATAAGTCGACTCGTGGCCATAGCTAGATTAGTCCCTTGGTTTTTTTTTTTTTTTTTTTTTCTTTCCTTTTAATTCCCGGGTGCGATCCCGTTGAGTCGAGCCATATGCAGCTAACGCAACAGGCACAAGGCAACGGTAGTTAGTCGCGCGCCAAGGACAACCCTGAGTTTCGCCCATAAAAGAGTAGATCCAAGCAAACGCATACTCCACTTATCTTCTCTCTTGAGTCTTGTCTACGAGTCTACGACGTACTATCTTCGTTTCTTTTCTTTTAAAAGTGGCCCCACTCACCGAAGCGCTGTCAGTTCGAGTTGGATGTTTCAAGGATCAGCGTAACGCCAATGACGCTGGGATTGACCGATTCAATTTCCCCCCTTCTGTCGACTTCCAAGGTTTGAAGCAGAAGGAGGCTGTGCAAAGCGGGTCTGTTTCCTGGACTTCCCGATTGGTTGCGGGTATTTGTATTGGTATTACCGGTATATGTATGGTATATGTTCGGTATGTGTTTGTTACTGGGGTATTCTTGTATCTTTGCAGAATTAAGACCTTATATTAGACCTTTTTGTACTGTATACCTCTCGAATATGATATATTACTTATATATATGTAGTTATTACCTACTAACTGTAGATCTAATTAGTGTAAATGTTCTCATTGGTTCTGTTATTCCGACTACAAGCTCAGACGCTGTAGACATACTTGCCAAATCCATGTGATTGGCAACCCTTGTGGGGGTGGGCAGTGCACTGCCTTGCAGGGGGAGCTCCGGTGGAGTTCCTATCTGGTCTGGCTTGGAGATTTAAACAAATGTATACAACATACGTACGAGAATCATTTCCACAATCCGCATCACTGTTACATACTTTATCAATAAATGCGGTTGTGATCGCCTTGCGTCGATCAAAGGCATTTAACTTTGTTTCAGGTCTGTCTAGGATTAGGCTTGGTCTCTTGGTATGGGCGATAGGTACAAAGTATAGTAGCTTACGATGGAGTCCAAGTAGGAGAGTCCTAAGTCCTAAACGCAATTATCAATATCTGGGATGATCCCGTAATTCTACCCAAAGCATTTTGTCATTCGAAAATAGTATGTCTAGTGTCACTTCGTTCGCTGTACAATTTCTGCGCATCTATGGAGTATTCTGCGTTGAACAAGCCTTGTGTCTCATGGCAACATTTGTCGCCAACTAATGAGCTACCAAATATAGGCTGCCAAGTACTTGTAGCTAAATAAAGATAACTAGCACGATGGGAGTTACACTGCCTTCGAGGTTTGAACGACACGTGCGCACCATGTACTATATTCACCTGAGTATCGAGCATCGGTCAATATACTGCGGAGTACGAGGTACTCTGTACACAAGATATACAACATAGTCACCTCTACCTAAGCTTATAATTTTAGCTTAGCACTATATATAGGCTGCATCCAAAACATATGGTGCTATTTTAGTCGCGTGCTCTAGTGCAGCACTATTCATCTGGTCCTGCCAGGCAGCATTCAATCGATAAACTTGGCCCAAGGAGTTCAAGAAAGGCATCTACGACTCAGGAACAGTTGTAGGACGTGTAACTTCCAGGCAGCTGCATTGTGAGAGTTGAATCTTCACGTGTCTGTCTCGGTCCTAATAGTGTTATGGGTTGGTAGTGATTTATGCTAATACGGACTTGCATTAGAATAACATCATATAGCAGGCCACATTTAATGTAAACAGCGGCATAACTAGGTCTCAATTACATGTCGAGTGCATTGCTGTTAGCTGCGTCGAGAAATTAAGAACTATAGGGATACGTCTCGCAAAATACAACATGACGCTCATCACCGAACAGCTCATACGGATATGCATTATGCCTTCCCGCACAGCAACAACCACAATGTGAGGAGTTTAAGGCGAGTTGTCATGCATTGGAGCGCTCTTAGCACTGCGCTGTCCAGGCTATCACTAGGTTTATCTTGTCTGTCTCTGTACGATTATGACAAGCTCCCCCTCCTGCTTCTGATGAATCTGCAACACCTGCATAGCTTTGGCGATCACTCCTTGCGATATGAACCAACTCGTCCTGAAGCCAACGGATTTTGACTTGCAATTCAAAGCTCCCAGTCAAAGCTTCATGTCCCTCTTTCGCGCTGTTCTGGACAAGGCTAATATATCTTGTCGGTCAAGGCGTTGTATGCGAGATATATCCGAAACCATGCCTCTGCTTGACCATTCCTCCAAGACACGGCCGCCCATTTCCAAGACTGCCACTAACCCGGAACCACTCTTGAAGCGATCACAAAGTGCAATTCGACTGCGGCGTAAGCAGAGATTCTTGGGACCTTAGACGTGGCGGAGTTCTCCCACCGCATTTAGTCCACACATGAGAGATCAAAGTAGAAGTCGTTACATAGGAAAGCCATTTCCCTGGAGCAACGTCTGCGACCCGAACCTCGACAATACATACCAGCAGGTTATTAAGGAACTAGAGCCCCAGTTTCACCTTTCTACGTCTCATTGCCATTATTTCCTTCATCCAACATGGACCCCTTCGCTCAACTAATTAACAAGGCAACGCCTTACCAAAATGACCACTATAACAACTCAATGGTTATTAGGTTAGATTTCTAATCTAAAGTGTATACATGATTTGACGTGACTTAAATAACTGGGTTGCAACGTTTTATTCAACAATAATCAATAATCAATTCAATGCAAAAACGGTAGAAAAGTTCAAGTATGTACCATGTTGCCTCTATTAAGCTGTAATACGCTGTTATAGTCGAATTCTGGTTATTAACTCTGTATGTTATTCTACTCGAGCAATATAGAGGCATAGCGACGTAAATATGGTTAATTATGAGAACCACGTTATACTTACTAGGGAAAATAGTTGCAATTACACACAGCCCAGGTCTAGAGTGGAAAGATTGAGTCGGAACAAGCCTCCAAAACAAAGGCAAGAGTACAAAGGTCGGTTTATAACTATACTGTAGCAGTATATATATCACGGAGGGTTTGTTCGGACATCATACATTGAAGTTCATAAGGCCGCAGAAAATCCACGACTAGTGGCTTCCACCGAAGAGCCGAGTAAGCCACCCACTAGGGCTGAGGTAGTTTTCCACGAGGGGGTCGTTAACTTTGTTTTAGTCTTGAACAGGGACCGCTCCGGCTAATAGTGCTTATTATATCCCCACCCGAAGGTCATGCAATACGGGAAGAGGATCGTGGCACTGGCGTATTTACCGGATAAGATAGAAAGTTAACAGTTACAGGGTTGGGGATGTGTGTAATTGTCTGGACGAGAGTGGCTGATGATTCATTTAAAAGACAGAGTCTTGTTGGACGCCTCGTGCACAAGTGTGCTACTAAGAATAATCGGGTTACGTGAAGATCATCGTGGAAGTTTTACTACCGCAGTTGGCCTTCTGCAGGATCAGAAATTTCATCGAGACATAAATGGAGGATATTTGTGCGTATGGGGGTCCTGTGGTTGAATGTGCCCGAGCAGGAGCGCCCCGTGCCGGGGGCCAATACCACGTCGCTGGCTTGAACCTTCTTTTGCCGAGGATTGTATGACTCGATAATTGCGCGGAAATTCCGCTAAGAATTAAAGACATATATATTTCAAGATACGAGACTTGTATGACTCGATATTTCCGTGTGGTTGCGTCCGTTGTTCTCCGCAACCCCTGTCAGAACAGGGAGTACAGTGGATGGGTAGATAATCAATGACTGGTGATAGCATAAACATGCCGCGCGAACCGATGGACATCAGTTGTCAGACATGCCTCGTCTGTTTTGCAGCATGTTCTCCTCGCCCAGGGTTTCAATATGCCTGCCAGATCGGGAGAGGAGGGTAATAGGCGAACCAATGTGGCGTTCTTATCTCACACTCCTTGATTGACGTCCGAACGATGTGATCGAAGAGAAGACTAAGGATTTCCCGACGGCACAGAGGGAAACAGTGAAGGCTGCCTCAATCTTTCCTGGTGGCGTTTCGCCATTTCAATGTTGCGTAGCCGGTCAATGCGCATCTGGTAGAAATTTCTGTTTCGCGGTTAGGAGTCATTATAAGGAGAATGATATTTGTAACATACTTGTGCAAAGAGAAAACTCGGGGTGAATCATCTGACTTTGTCTCTGTCCCAGAGGCTTTCTGGATAGAGGCGATCTGGCCGGGATAATCAGTCAACACATTCATATGAAGCATTTTGCTTGGCTTCAACTGCGGTAAAAAGTCACGAACCTTATCATCTCTGTCTTTTTCATCGTTGACGTTTGACTCGGGTGCATCCTTATCTTTGTCTTTGGACTCATCTTTGCCCTTATCTTTCTCCTCTTTATTGTCCTTGCTAGACGCCTTCTCGCGCTCTTTCTTCCGTCGTTGTTTTTCTTCATATTCTTTTTTTATCTTTTCAATCTCTTTGGCCAATGTCTCTTCTTTGAGACGTTGTGCTTGGCCCTCTGTGTCGATGATTGGAGAGCAGAAATGCTTGTCTTGCAAATGTGCGGGGCACACGTAGAAGAAGTCCTGAGTGAATTAGCCACTTTGCATGTATAAAAATGGGAATGAAGTGAAGAAACAATCTTGCACCCTATAAGCCAGATGAAAGATCAAATTGCATACCTTGTTATCCGGTGTGATCATCACACTGGTTGATGGTTTGTAGCAAATCAAACATGCTTTTGCAGAGGTATCTGCGACCCGACGCACATGGTAAACGTTTGTTAATGACATGGTTTCGAATCTAAATGTTTGCTCTAAGCGAGGGAGTGTTCCAGAGCTTATGTTGCTGCTTGGAGTTTGTGCTGAACAAGTGTAGATGGACTTGATGAGGTTGGTGTTGATTCAGAAAGCGCTGTCATGTGACTCATAGTTCCAGGAGTAAATCGGATTGCTTGAAGTCTTTACAAAATAATTAGAATTCAAGAGAATCTTATTGATGGAAATAAGGTATTCATTTACTAAAGCTGATAGTGTACATCAGCAAACATCCACCACGCCCATCTTAACAGAACGCCTAACCATGCATTTGTCCACTGATATCAATCCCGGTAGGACTGGAGAATAGGACGAGAGATAGCAATACATGAAGTTTTGTGAAGAGAAATCATGAGATATAGTGAGCATTAAAAAAATTTGCAGCAAAAAGAAAGACGATCATAGATCATAACACCTCCTCCTCGTCGATGCCAGCTGCCTCCTTTGCTACCCTCAGATCCTTGCCTGCGATACCGATATCCCGCAAGTAAGGCCTGAAGGCCGTCAGTAGATCCTTGAGACCTGCGCGGAGTGCAGCAAGCACGATTTCAACATCTGGAACCAGACGGGCAACTGCTTGGGCCTGAGGATCACTCGAAGGGGGAAGTTGATATCAGTCCAGTGAGCATCCAGTCCACCGTGGTGGGCAAATGCATCCAGGGTGAGGGTAGTTTGGGTCAGAAGCCGCACGGCTGAGGGCACATCGGCCTGAACTTTGCCATACGGATCTTCGGCCAAACTGGCAATGAGGAGTCGAGTCAAGGACTCCACGGCATCCACAATCAAGGATAGAGAGGATTCTGGTGTGCCAAGAACAATAACAGAGAGGCGTTGGGCGTATGTTTGACGGAAGGGTTGGCCGATAGGCGAGCGAAGAATCTGCGCCAGGACTGGGTTCATGTCCTCGGGATTATGAGTTGTGGAGGGGCCACCGGTAAGCAGCTTGAACCTCTGAGGAGAGCCGAGATATTTCTGCTTCTGCTCAGGGCTAAGCATTGCGGATGATGCCCGGTCGAAAACATCACGGACTCGGGCTCGCGCAGTTGGAGTCCAGTCTTCTGACTGACCAAAGGATTTAGCCGCCGAACTAAACGCATCGCCAAATTTGTCCTGGTGTGAAGTAGCTTTGGGGGCTGTAGTAAAGATGTTGTCGTCTTTGATCGGATCTGAGAGTCGCGGGAGAGTCTGAAGAACAGGTTCAGTTTTCTCCGCCTGCGGCAAAGGTTTGGTAACAGTCGCGGGATTTTTGCTTTCCTCGATGCGAGTGTTGATGGCCTTGATTACATCGGTAGTGCAAGCAAGCACCTGGGACCAAGCCGAACCACCCTCGCGATCAATTTCATTGAAGATTGCCTTCCGGCGGTCGGGCACGCGCTGACTGATGAGGCTGAGTTCCCAGAGTGCAAAAACCTTCACAAGTTCCTTCTTCGCCTTGAGGCCACTAATAAGACTGCCATTGGGATCCTTGGCTTCCGTTGTGAGTGGCTGGCCCCGCTTCAAAGGCTCCTTGCCGATGAACACAGAATAAAAGAGGTTGGCGGTTTGCCAGGAGAGGACAAGCATCACTCCGGGGAGCAAAGTTTTGAAGAAGAAGTAGGGGAAAATCGAGGGAATGAAGCTCTGAGGTTCGGCTGCAGATCTCGGGAAGCTCCAAGAGAGCTTGGCAAAGTACAAAGACCAGCTCCACGCGAAGCTTCTGAAAAATATGGGGTATATCACGAGAGACGCCCCAGCAACAGTGACGCTTCTAAGAGCCCCAGCCGCCAATTCTGGCACCAGAGCACCTTGTAGATACTTAGAGGTTGCCGGTACGGGGTGAGTACGGTCGTCATCTGTTATGGATTTTTATCCACGATGGGCACTGCAATGCGGTCGTAGTCATAGTAGAGGTGAAACACTGCTTGCACACATGCTAAGAAGATATGGAAGGAATGAAGGTAAATCGGCCTTTCATTCAGGGTCGGTCGCTCGTGTGGCCTATATCTCATTAGTCCAGATCGGAGTCATTTAAAGCATACTTAACGCACCTGCCCCGTTTCACAAGCTCGAGGTTGGAATCACTTGAAGACGACCACACATAAACCACGGTGAACCACCATGCTGAGAAGATGTACCAGCCAAATGTTTGCGCAATTTGTAACAGGGTGAGAGATCTGAAAATGTCGAACGAGGAGCTAGCTGTTCTCGAGCCGATGTGCATTTGACTGACGCGGAGGACGAAAATGGTGAGAGAGGATATGAAGAGTAGCGCGGTTCGGACACCGCAACTACCGAAGGGAAACCATAACCAGAACACTGTATGAGTATCTCTATCAGTTCTTTGTACTTCCAGGACTTGAAACTGAGCCTTCGAGGCTCGGCCCGATAAGGTTGCGATGTACTTACAGGACGATTTCTCCCCGATCGCAATTGCGATAATATAAGAGACCAGCAGTGAAAGGGCAGACGCATGAACAAATCTTCGGTGTAAGGCCGAAGTCAGGATTCGCCTGTAGGGCCGAGTTTGTACGACGGCCATTGTGTAAGCTTGGGAGTGGGATGCGCTCGGGAATGAAATAGTTGAAGATTAGAGCATGATCAGAATAAAGGTCGTGTGGAGAGCTCCAGGAGCTGGAGAGCGGAATTGGCGGATCAGGGACAGTGTTGGCGAATGATCACGTCTGACAGCTGGTTGTGTTGAGCTGGTCGAATAGAATCAATCAACGACGAGGTCCGCCCAGGAATATTTTGAGGCATCAAAACACACCTGCCACATCTAGTCATGTGATATGTGGCTCAAGTGTGCATTGTGCCACACAAGCTAGTCCATATATAGACTAGTGGCTACATAGTACGTCATGTGAGGGCGGTCTGAACACCAAGGCAGCTAGCTTATCCAAGACACCAGGGACCTGCAGATAACTCATTTGGTATCCAGTTTTCCTCTACCTTCGCTTTAAGCACTCATTTATTGCTTTTCAATTACACATAGAATGTCTTTTGACAGACTAAACTCGCTGGAGGCTCAGCCTACCACCATGCGCAGGGATGAAGACACGCAGTACCGCGATGATCCGGACTTCGACCATCTGGCCGAGCAGCTCTCAGATCAGTTATTTACATTGACATCAAACATCTCTCGCCTATCCAACCAAATTGCTCTTCTTGGAACCAAACGTGATACAGAACGTGTGCGCGAACGAGTTCATAATTTGCTGGAAGAGACCCGTACGGGGTTTAGGGATGTAGGAGAAGGGATTAAGCAGGTCCAGACATGGGAGGACGTGAATGTATGATCCATCGGATTCCATTCACCTCTGAGAATTTCTTATTAACATTCCGACTTATAGCCCTCTCAGAAATGGACACAGCAGAAGCTATCGTCCGAATTCAAGGCCACTTTGGATGAATTCCAAACTATTCAGCGTCGTGCACTCGAGAAACAGCGCGCTTCTGCAGTTGCTGCACGTACAGCATTTGAAGAAGGCGAGCAAGCGTCCGGTGAGAACGATGTCCAATTACAAGAACAGCTATTGGAGGAGCAGCACCGTATGGCCAACCAGGGTGAGGTGGACTTCCAAGAGTCCCTGATCATCGAGCGTGAAACAGAGATCCGGAACATTGAACAAAGCGTGGGAGAGCTGAACGAGCTCTTCCGAGATGTTGCGCACATCGTTACGGAACAAGGAGGGCAGCTGGATATCATCAGCGAAAATGTCCAAAATGTCACCCAGGACACACGAGGCGCCAATGTCGAATTGCGCAGTGCCAGCAAATATCAGAAGAATGCGCGCAACAGAGCCTGCTGTCTCTTTATAATTCTTGCTGTTATCCTTGCTATTATTGTGCTTGCAATTGTCCTCGGATAGACATTTCTCTTCCTTTTTTTCGGTCTTGTTTATTTGCTACCACCACGGTCTTCTTCTTTAATGTTGCCATGTATGCGCACGATATCCCTCTTGCATGATTGCACTTCCGTTAGTCAAGCATCTCACCTTTTTGCTTCATTACATTCTCTTACTTCCGATTTACGCATTCATTCATTGCCAACCTTCGATTTGTATGGAATGGAGAACATTAATTCATCGCTGCCTCTTAATCCTGTAGCCTGATATCGTACAGAATTATGTGTGTTGTACATGCAAAATACACCCAATTGGGTCCCAAATGCCCGTGCTCCGTTGTCGCCTTTGTATGTGCAGTGCGAAAGCATATCCCGCCAGAAGGCGATCATCAATGATGCCCTTCATAGACCTGTGAAGCGGTTGAACCTCAGCCTCCAGCCTTCATAAGTATTCAATTTGGGCCGAACATCGAGGAAGAAACTGAGCTTCCCGGGGGTGGCATTGGCATTGGCAGCCAGGCCCGATGGGGTTCCATTGCCTCCCGATGTCTTGCCCTGGTAGAAATCGATAACATATTCAACCTTTTCACCGCCACAGCGCTCAACAACCCAGTCATGTCGATCAAATGGGTGCTGGTAGCCAAGCCATCCATTCATTCGTGCGCGCGGACTCAGGTACTGTGGGTCGACTCCAAGTCCCCGGAAAGAATATAATTTTGGTCCTCCGCATTTCTTGCTCCCTGGGTCGGCCGAGGGGCCCTTTCTCTCCCATTCGAGGATTTGATCCCATGCGCGTTCATTGACGGCGTTATGAATGGGGATAATGGAAGCTACGGAAGTCGCGAGCTCTGAGGCTGAGGAAGTAGATCCAGGAGTGTTACCCTTGCGCATCAAAGCCTCAAAAAACTGTTTTTCCGACGGATAGATCCAATTTCCAGTAGCTTCATCCCGGCCAGTCTCGGACTCGGCATTTGATGGGCTTCCATGCGACGCGGCGTATGGGGATGGAGAACCTTTGTTCGCCTCGGGACACGCACTAGCTGGGCTGAAATCACCCGCTCGAGGGATAGTGCTCACTTCGCGGTCTGTTGATAGGGGCCGTTGTGCTTTGGCACGTGGTTGGCCCTGTTCGGGAGGGACATCGGAGGTAGGATGAGGTGAGTTGCTATTTTGTTGCAGCCAAACCTCACGGGTTTTGTGGTCCACGGGACAAGTTGCCGCGGGTGGCTCGACGGAGGGCGCAGAGGGTGTACTAGCTGCAGCTCCCATTGTTGAATAATTGGAGGTCAATGACTGGAGGATGTCGATCGCATCGATGCGGAACTAGAACTACGCCGTAGAAATTATTTTGCCGCCTCACCGCCCGGACAAATCAACAATCCCCCTAAGCAGTAAATCCCCCTCATGTCTCTTATTGTTGTCGAGAAATTCATTGATCTTTCTTTTATTCTTCTGAGGCAAAAATGGCGTCCACTTCGAACCAGTCTGTTTACCGGGCTACTACCACCGCTCCGGTAAACATTGCTGTTATTAAGTATGCCGCTCTTCGATTACCCCTCGTCCATTTTATACCAAATCGTTTTGTTCTAACAAGATTATTCTAGATACTGGGGCAAGCGTGATACTACTCTCAATCTCCCGACAAACTCATCCCTCTCAGTCACACTCTCTCAGCGCTCTCTCCGTACCTTGACCACTGCTTCTTGCTCTGCCGAATACCCACCTGCGGACACCCTGAACCTGAATGGCAGTTCCCAGGACATCCAGTCTTCCAAGCGCACACTTGCTTGTATCTCCAATCTTCGTGCCCTCCGCAAGGCCCTTGAGGATGCCGACTCCTCGCTCCCCAAGCTCTCCACCCACCCTCTCCGTATCGTCTCCGAGAACAACTTCCCCACTGCTGCCGGTCTGGCCAGCTCTGCGGCTGGCTTCGCAGCGTTGGTCCGCGCTGTCGCCGACCTTTACGAACTTCCCCAGTCCCCTAAGGACCTAAGCCGTATTGCACGCCAAGGCTCGGGATCCGCATGCCGCTCCCTGATGGGCGGATACGTCGCATGGCGCACGGGTGAGCTTGCTGATGGAAGCGACAGCCTGGCTGAGGAAGTTGCTCCTGCATCCCACTGGCCTGAGATGCGTGCCATTGTTCTGGTTGTCAGTGCCGAGAAAAAGGATGTTCCTAGCACTGAGGGGATGCAGACTACTGTGGCCACCTCCGCTCTCTTCGCTGAGCGTGCCCAGAACGTTGTTCCCGGGCGTATGACTGCCATTGAGACTGCTATTCAAAACCGCAACTTCCCCGACTTCGCGGAGATTACTATGCGTGACTCGAACACTTTCCACGCCACTTGCCTCGACTCGTGGCCCCCTATATTTTACATGAATGACGTCTCTCGTGCTGCCGTCCGCCTTGTGCACGACATCAACCGCGTTGTTGGCCGCACGGTTTGTGCCTACACTTTCGATGCTGGCCCAAATGCTGTCATCTACTATGAAGATAAGGACTCTGAGGTTGTGGCTGGCACCGTCAAGGCTATTCTCGGCCCCAACACTGAGGGTTGGGACGGCGCATTCTACGAGAGAGTGGCCAATGTCACTGCTGGTGTTTCCTTGGATCAGGTTGACTCTCGCGCCGTCGAAGTTTTGAAGGAGGGTGTGAGCCGTGTCATCTTGACTGGCGTCGGAGAGGGTCCCGTCAAGGTTGAGGACCACCTTGTCAGTGAGACTGGTGAGATCCTCAGCACTCTTTAGAAAGCTTGAATAAGCTATACCGGGAAACACGGTATTCCCATTTTGGCCAACTTTGGAAGGCTTCTCAGCCTGAAAGATACCCCACCGTTCTTTTGCGGACAATCCAACTTGGCCATCCAAGCTTGATGCAGATATTCCTTTCGCTGTATCTTTTTTCTCCCCGATAATCTAGAACATAATAATACCGTGGTAACAGCGGGGTCTCGGTTTCTACTGAAGCAATACATCTGTTTCCATTCATAATAATAATAATAATAACAACATATCTTGCACTTGATGCAACACGACACAATACATGCAACCTTGGAAATCAATCGAGTGTTCGCTTCCAACTTTTGAGGTCCAATATCTGTCTTACTATAATTTCCACCAGCGAATACTTCTGACCTCTCAACAAGAACGACAATCATCACAGCGCCTAAAGCCATATCCTAGCGTCCTACAATTCTCAATGAACCTGTTTTGTTCATTATTGGCATAAACACAGCAACCTGCAAACCCACAGGCGGTAGCATTGAAGCTTCCACCAGTCTGAGCACAGGCAGACTGAGAATTCTCGGTTATACCGTTGCAAAGACATTTGATAGACCTGGATTCCACCTGGGCTGTCGCTAGCGTGCCCAGACCCAACAGGAGAGTGATATATGTTGAGATAGAGAGGTGCATAGTCTGAATCAAGACATTAAGAGATTGGGACCAGCTAATAGATACTCCGACAGGTTCACTTACTGTTCTTGCAAAGGAGCGGCCTTGCGTGGGGCTTTCTTTTGGTATCCTTTCTTGGCTGCAGTCCTGGTATTCAGATGTGGGACTTGGTCTTTTTTTTATATTCCCATTCTAGATACCTTGTACACAGTGTTCGGTTGACTTGACAACTGGCCATCCAGGGGGGGCACAACATATATATGTGTCAGTTTTGTGTCATCTAGTGAAGAAACTGTGTCTAT